TTTTGAGTCGTTTGCAAGGTTGATTTCCTCTTTTGTTGCTTTGAGGCATCGTTTTCCTTGCCGATTTTCTTTTACAGAACAACCCGGCCCCAAAATCGTTGTAAGCCCCCTAAATATTTTCGAAAATTAATTTCCTTCTCAATAGCTCTGGAAATGCCTTGGTTTAAAACGGTCAGCCCCTATTATTTTCCTCTAATTTCGCTCAAATTTTATGTCTCGCACGCCTGAGCCCGCATTGTTGATCGCATACCCTCTGACGTAGCATTTCGTTATTCAGCCCTGTCACACTACCCAACATACCAGCGACCCCCAGCGAGAACTTCTTGCTTAGTTGGTCCCCCACAAATCTATCGGCCTCTCATGAAAGTGCATGAAGCGCCTGGGCACTAGGTTGAACATGGCACACCCAGTACAAGATAGTTCCATGAGCTTTGGGACGGCAAAAAAAAGAAAAAGAAAAAGATACAAACAAACAAAAAAACCACCTAACAATAAAAAATGTTAATCCCATAACTTCCCCTTTTGAAAGAGGTGTGACTTGTGCAGCCGTCAAAAGGATGTTGAAGGCAATGATTTACATTACGTTCTTTATAGCTCATTATTCATTAAACTTGGGCGTGTCGAGTTCGTCTATTATTTTCAGTTGCTTGGATAATACAAGAAGGCATGAGTCACGCGATCAATTTTTAGCCCAAAGAATAGAATACATTTCTTTGGCGAGTCTTAAAAAGAGCTTTATGCAGACAAATATTTCACACTTGTGTACGGCTCAAAATTCCCCGTGCAAATCACACTTTTGCTTTGGTATATATTATAGTGGCAAGGGTTGATTCCTGGCTGTGTCGTAGACAGTTCTTCTTTCGCAAGCACAAGTTAAGTTTCTCTCCCTGAAAGATTTAAACAAGAACATCCGAAATCCGAGGTGTTCAACCGTTTGCGAGGTTCGTAATTCAGCGCATAAGTTCGAGTCGAAAATGAAGTGCACATTGTTTTTGTATACTGAAAGTGACAGCTCTAAAGGTTGGCCACTTATGAGTTATTTCCAAGGCAAGCTGGGAAGGATTGCAGAGGTGAGAGGTATCAAGAACATTTTAGTGAGGAAACAGGATTTCAGGTACCAGCTACGTAGCAGTCAGTGTGTGGTATTGGTTGGGACGCGCCAAGCTTCTTCCCTCATCCAAAACAAGCAGCAAGAAAAATGCGGTGATTATATCACTTTTGACGGCAAAGTTATGCACGAGGAGTTCACAGAAAACAAAGAGCTTGTCGAGAACAGGCTCATTATCGTTCGCTTAACTGAAAGAAGCGAGGATGACTGGATCCCGTCTGGTTTTGACGAAAAGCGAATTTTTCATGTGGAAGATGGGAGAGCTCCCCCCAAAGGAACCCCTACTTTAACTCACCTTGAATATCGCCTGAAGAAAATTTTGCTTGGAGATGATTTCTTGTACTGAGCTTAAGGACCATAGAAAGTGCAGTGAACATTTCTTCATAATTAAACAACAAAGTCACGGATGCTGGCCGCGGCTTGGCAGCTGATTGCATTTGAATGACAACTTCATAATGTTAGATTTTGATAATTGATCGTATTTGTTTGTGATGATAATTTTTCCCGAATCGAAAGTTTTAAGCTGAACGGTGTGATGGTAACACCCTTGGCTTGGGGTTAGGTTGGGTTTCGAGTTGAGTGGATGATGTGTAATTCTCTTGTAGAAGACAAAATTTGTGTTAAAACAGCCTACTGTAGAGAAGTACTTAAATGCTGTTTCGATAGGATCTCAATATTAAAAATTCACGTCTTTACATTAAGAACTTCTGAACAGAGTGGAGAAGAATTAATTGACCAACGCAGGCTCCTTTCTAAATGCTTAAAACAGGTATAACGGGGATTCGGGATTCTTCAGTAACCCCTATAGCAGTTTAATACCAAAAACTTTGCTTACAGATATGGCTTGATTTTTAGAATCTGCTCTTTAGTTTAAGCTAATGCAGCTCTCTTTGAAATAATGTTGAGACTTTACAGTTTCTCATGTTTCTGTCTCAAAGTTACACGCGAATTTTTCCAGTCAATATTCCCTTGATGCAATCCTCAAGATAGTCTAAGGAAGGATTTCCTCTCTGAATTTCTTCACCTTGCAGATTAAATATTCTTCTTCCATTCAAACCAGCTGGGATCCAATCATTCTTGGTCCTCTCCGGGAAAAAACTATCACCAATCTGTCCACAAGTTCTTTGTTACCTGTGAACTCGCCATGTATCCCTTTACGGTCGAAAGTGATAAAATCATCTTCGGTTTCTTGGCGTTTATTTTGAATAAGAGACGATGCATAACGAGATCCTGTCAACACAACACAGCTGCTGCGAGAAAGTTCTTTCTTAAAGTCCTGTTCTTCTGCCAGAATATCGGTGATATTTCGCAGATCTGTTACTTGCCGCAGCTTAGATCGATAGATAGAAACTTAACGTGTCAAAGAACCTTCAGTTCTATTTTGGGAGGTATCCTATACTAATGTGGGGACACAAATGAAATGGATAAAAACTATTTACAAAGAATATTACCCACTAAGAATAAATTTGAGTCATCTCGTGCATAAAAAAAAAAAACAAACAAACAAAATGAATTAAGAATTGCATAGAGCACAGCCCCTGCAGCCATTGTCTAATAGAGAGCTGAGGTCACGCCTACGTATGTGGTTTTTGAAACTAGCTAATGTTGTGGCTGATCTGTCATAAGTCGTCAGTTTACTCCATAGTTTTGGTCCTAAATAGCGTAGTGAATGTTTGCCGTAAGTTATTGTGTTGTATCTAGGATTAGAAAAGTCGGCCTGTCCTAAATTATAGGAAGAGTTGTGTTTCTGAAAGATATTACAAATATTCAAAGGGCTAAGGTTGTGTTTAACTTTGTACATTAAAATGCATATATCCTGTTAGCGTCTGTTTAATAGCGAAGGTAAATTAGCTTTCTGCAGCAAACGCATAGGTGGAGTGTTTATCTTTGAATATAGCCCTTTGGCCTCTTTCTTCAACTCTCTCTAATTAATCTTCGACGATCCCTAGATTTAAAAAAATGCCATATGAGATGGCAGTAGGTTAGGTATAGAAGAATGGCTGCCTTAAAAAGTTGTAATTTTGCATTTGTTGGAATCAAGTTGCGGAGTCTCATAAGCACACCAATCCTTTGACTGGCTTTGTTACAGATAGTATTTATGTGATTATTGAAATTCAAATTTGAGTCAATTGTGACTCCGAGAAGTTGGAGAGTGGTGGTCGTGTTGATTTTCTCTTTGTTTACTAAGATAGCGCATTCTTCAATGTTATTTTCAGAGTTATTATTGCTACCAACAATTAAGGTTTGGTATTTTTCAAGGTTACCAACTAATAGATTAGATTCGTACCAGTTAGTTGCTTTTTCCGTACTGTCTCTAATTAACAAATGGTAAACACTACAGCGTACACTATTGAGTTATGGATGCACGCGGGAGGTTGCTAAGCACGAGAGAAGCGTAAGAGTCGCTCGAGGCGATAGCCGAGAGCGACTCTAGCTTCTTGAGTGCTTTGCAAACCTCCCAAGTGCATCCATAACTCAATAGTGTACGCTGTGGTGTTTACCATTTGTTTTATAATATAACATTGATACATTGTAGCTAAAGAGTTCCCTTTTATTTAACAAATCTTACGCGACCAGAAAAAACAAGCGCGCGCGGAAAAATAGTCTTTGCATTTGCTCACGTCAGCAGCGTACACCCATGGGCAAATGGGGGACGCTAAATTGACCAATCAGAGCGCGCGCTTTACTTTGGTTATGTTATAAGTTTGGATGTAGTAGTGGGTAGGTCATGACCTGTATGGTAAAACTGATGGCCGTCCGCATACCGTGATTGATATATCTCTAATATGATAAGATAGATCGTTTTGGAATATATTCCATAACTGATGAGAGGACCCAATGCGGATCCTTGAGGACAGCCTCGACTGACTAATCTGTTAGAGCTGATATTGCTTCCGGTTAACAACGATATTTTAATAAACATTGCCGGCTTGGCTAAGTAGGAAATTCCCCAGTACATTTGTATTTTCTTAGTTGACGGAATCATGTTTGGAATTGACTCTGGCTGCTGCAAGTTCAAGGTTTTCAATCCCAAGATTGGTATGGACGCTTTGCAAATC